TGGTGAGACATCATGATATATGGCTAAATTCAAAAAAGTAGGTTGCTTTTCAACAGGAACACCAAGACAAGCGAAGGGGGGAAAGCAGTCTTTTCAATGAATGGTGCTGGGAAAATTGCACCATTTGCCACATGCACAAGAATGAATTTGGTTCCCCGCCTCATATCTGCAAAAATTAATTCAAAGTGGATCAAAGACCTAAATGTAAGAGCTAAAACAAAAAACTCTTAGAAGTAAGTATAGGTGTGAATCTTTGTGACCTGTTATGTCTCAGTACAACCATAACGATGCCCATCCCCCTCCAGTCTCTGGCCCCGATTTTATTTTATTCTATTTTTTTAAAGATTTTACTTATTTCTTTGAGAGAGAGAGAATCAGAGAGAGCACGAGAGGGAAGAGGGTCAGAGGGAGAAGCAGACTCCCTGCTGAGCAGGGAGCCTGATGTGGGACTCGATCCCGGGACTCCAGGATCATGACCTGAGCCGAAGGCAGTCGCTTAACCAACTGAGCCACCCAGGCGCCCTGGTCCCAATTTTAAAATCCCACAGTATGGCGGCATCCGGCTGGCTCAGTCTGAGGAGCACTGACTCTTCATCTCCTGGTCACGAGTTCGAGCCCCACATTGGATGTAGAGATTACTAAAAATAAAAAAAAATAAAAATGAATAAATAAACTTTAAAAATTCCACAGTATTAAGCCCCTATGAAGGGCTTTTTTTTTGAAAAATAATTTTTTATAACAATATTAGGTCCCGGTGCACAACATAATGACTCAGTGTTCGTATGTATTATGAAATGATGACCACAATAAGTCTAGTCATGGAACATAGTGAAAGAATTGTTTTCCTTTTGTGATGAGAACTTTTAAGATCTAGTCTCTTAACAACTTCCCAATATATGATATAGTATTATTAACTGCAGTCATCATGCTGTATTTTATATCCTCATGATTTATTTATTCTATAACTGGAAATTTGTACCTTTTGACCCCCTTCACCAATTTCACACACACCCCCACCAATCTATTCTCTGTATCTGTGAGCTTTTTTTTCCATATTAATTCCACATATGAAAGATCGCCCAGTATTTGCCTGATCTTTTCCACATAGCATGTGAAAGGTCCACTCATGTTGTTGTAAATAGCAAGATTTCTGTCTTTTTTGTGGCTGAATAATATTGCATCGTATCCAGATACCACATTTTCTTTACCCATTCATCCATTCACAGACACTTAGGTTGTTTCCATGTCTTGGCTGTTGTAAATAATGCTACCATGAACATGGGATGCAGATCTTTTGTCAAATTTGTGTTTTCATTGCCTTCAGATAAATACCCAAAAGTGGAATTGCTGGATCATATGGTAGCAGAAACTTTGAGAGGTTTTTTGTTTTTTTGTGTTTTTTTTTTTAATTTATTTAGAGAGAGAGCACGTGTGAACAGGGGGAGGGGAAGAAGGAGAGAGAGAGAATTTCAAACAGACCCTGCGCTGAGTGCAGAGCCTGACACGGGGCTCGATCCCACGACCCTGAGATCACGACCTGAGCTGAAACCAAGAGTCGGATGCTCAACCGACTGAGCACCCAGGCGCCCTGGAACCTTTGAGAGTTTTAAAAAGTTTATGTGTGTCCACCCAGCTGTGGAAAAACAAGATTGACATGACCAGATATTGCATCACCTATGAACACCTCATCAGTTTGGGTTTTCTTTGCCACACTTGTGGGGACACACCTCTATCAAAGGGGGTTTGTCAGTGTTGGAGTCTCGAGCTCGTCAGACACCCGGAGGTTTCAGTGGTGAGCGGTAGTGGCCAGCATTCAGTTTCTTGCCCAGTGGTGCTAGAAGGATCCTTCAGTTAGTCTCATGTTGCAATTAGGGAAAGCAGATTCAGAGAGGGCCGGTGGCCTGCCGAGGTCACACGGCTGAGTCATGGGTCCCATCGCCCCTGCTCTGCACGCACCCACTCACTCGTGCCTCACACAATTGCCAAACACCCACTATGTGGCAGGCCCTGGGGTAGGCACTGGGGACAGAATGCTGACACAGGCAAAGACCCCGTCATCATAGCCTTTGAGACGGGCAGTAAACAAGTAAACAAAGAAGCAAAACAATGGTAGGTCTTAACAGAGGGGTCAGGGAGGGCCACGCCAGGGAGAGACAACCGAGCTGTAGGATGAGAAAGAGTGGAAAGAACCAGGAGAGGGCCGTTGCTGGCTGAAGGGGCCGCCAGGACAAAGCACAAGGCAGGCGGCGGCCGAGAGCGCAGTCCAGGCAGGCTGGCATGTGGCAATGCTGGGAGTGGCACAGGGCGAGACGAGGTCAGGAAGCCAGCAAGGGGCAGGTCCGGAGGCGTCCGGACAGAGTCTGAACCCACTCTGCCTGAGGGAGGAAGTCACTGAAAGGTCCAAGCCATCTGAATTCTAGAAGAGACACCCAGACTCTGAGACACCAGCATTTCCCTTTGGTGCCCACTCCTCAGGCTCTGGGGTCACCCCGGCAGTGGGGGGACACCCAGTCTATGCCCCCCATGTCAGCGGAGCCTCGCCTGCCCTTTACCACACACAGACCTGTGCGGCACAGAAGAGCCAACACTCAGCAAGGGGCCTGCCATGGCCACTCTGGTCCAGCTAGGTCCTTTCCACGGCAGCCAGGCACTCTTGCATGTTGGGGGCTTTCCAGAGAACACCTCCTTCGCCCAGAAGAGGAAGCAGTAGCTTCCACACACGCCTCCCCGCATCCGCTGGCTGCCTCGTGAGAGGCTCGAAGACTCCAGTCCCAGGCAGATGGGAGAAGGACTTCCAGCCTCGCTCGACACAGAGGAAGTGTCCCCCCCACCCCCGGCCATGCCAGGTCCTCTGCGGGGCAGTGGGGGGTAGAGGTGAGTGAGATGCAGCCCCTGCACGCGGGCTCGCGGGCCAGAGGCACACCATTCAGGCCACTCCCCTGGACACCCCAGACACTGACATACGCCGTTACCCTTCTCACAGTGACCACACTGCTGAGCTGTGGGATTGGATGGCCATTTCAGTAAACAAGGCCAGTAAACATGGAGGGAAAAGCGCTGGGCCTCCCTACCTCACGCCATACATGAACATCTACTCTACAGGCGTTGGAGAACCCCAAATGAGAAAGGCACACTGGAAAGGTGTTGAGAAACAGCAGGAATTGCCAGCACGTTTTTCAGTGCTTGCTAGGGACCAGCACTGTTCTAAGTGCTTTGCACATTGTAACTCAGCAGAAGCCTCTCAGTGGTTTGCCAAGTGGTTGCAGAAGCAATGAGAAAGAATAGAAGGGAAATACCTCCTTAATCTCTCTCTTAAGGTATGACATGGGCTGTGAAAGCCAAGACTGATATGGTTGAATACATTCAAGTTGGCAACTTATATTCATCCAAAGACCCTATTTAGAGAGTACAATGCAAACCACAGAATGGGAAAGAATACTGAAAACCACATAGACCTTACAAACCATGAAGAAAATAAGCAATGAGCAAGGGGGTGGGGGGCGCTCAGTCAGTGAAGAGTCCCACTCTTAATTTCAGCTCAGGGCATGACCTCAGGGTTGTGAGATCCAGCCCTGCGTCAGGCTCTGCACTCAGCATGGAATCTGCTTGAGATTCTCTCTCTCTCCCTCTGCCCCTCCCCTCTAAATTAATTAATTAATTAGATATTTTTTTTAAATGAGCAATGGACTTGAACAGAGGATATAAGGATTGAAACTAAGCCCATGAAAAGATACTCTGCATCACTCCTTATTAGGGAAATGCAACTTAAAACCATAATGAGACATCACTATACACCCACTAGAATGACTACAATAAAAACATACTGACCACATCCAGTGTAGGTGGGGTCGTGGAAGGCCTAGAACTCACAGGCACTGTGGCGGTGGGTGGGAGCACAGAAACACAGCCACGGGGGGAAACCTTTGCCATAATCCAGGAGAGTTGAAAGCTATTCAGCGATTCATACTCTAAAACCCAGGGATTTCACCTTACATAAACATGTGCACTTGGAGAAATGTAGAAGACTATTCCCAGCAGCATTGATCACAATGGCCCAAACTAGAAACAACCCAAATGTGCATTCATAGACCAAAAAAAGAAAAAAGAAAAAAGGAGAAATAACGATGTATTCAAATAATGTAACAACACAACAACAAAAATGAAAAAACTCTAGCTACACACACACACAAATTGATGAATCTTATACACAGAAATGCTGAACAAAGGAAGCAAGACACCAAAGCATACCAACACTATGCGTGGCTCAATTTTATAAAATTCCAAGATAGGGAAAGTTAAGCTCTATTGTTTTGGGGTCTATTCATAGGTCGTAAATTTACAAAGAAAAGCAAAGTGACCCCAGTTCAGAGTTCAGAGTGGGACTGCCTCTAATGGGGAAGAAGGGGATCATGGCTGAGAAGAGACACATGGTGGCCTTCTTGGGGGTTGTCTATTTGTTTGTTTGTTTGTTTGTTTTGTCCCAGTCTCCTGTCCTCAAGGTCACAAATACTGGTGGCCATGAATCACATCACAGCCCAGAGGTCTGACTTCCCTGGTACCTTCTCTTGGGAGAGTTGGATGCAGTTTTGCTCAGAGAAAGGCACAAAATGGAACTGAGAGTTTACCCCATTTCCCTTCCACATGAGGCACTGGTTCTGTGCTCCAAACCTCAGTTTCCCCATTTGTCAGTGAAGCATGAGGGCCCCCATCAGGCCTAGCTCACAGGGGAGAATAATGAACGTTAAAGAGGGATGCGGGATACTGTTGGAACGCCAGAGAGTATCTGGGATTCTGAGGGACAGCCAAGCTAGCTGCAAGGCTGTGTGAGGCCCGGCTGGATCCCTCAGAACTAGGTCTCTCGGGGCCTGGTCCTGCCTTGCCCTGTTCTGCCCTGCCCCTGCCCTGTGGGACCCCCAGTCAACAGGATTCAACGTACTGTCTGTCATCAGCCAATAGGCTGGGGCACCAAGAGCGGGTCACACAGCCTATTTCCTGTTTTCAAACAGGGAACTTAGAAGCTGCAGCTCGCCGGAGCCTGGAACAGAGGGGAGCTGAAGACGGCCATGTGATACTCCTCTGGGACCCCCAGACCCACACAGGGCCAGAGAGGCTTCAGGTCAGTGTTTGATCCCAACCTCGGTGGGTCTCTGCCCGTGCCCCCCCCCTCCACCTGTGGCCTGAGCCCCCTCCCCCTGTGGCCCTCCCTCACTACCTGTTGGGGGCAGGGCGGGGTAGGGAAGGGTTGGTGACAGCCTCTAAGTGTAGGGCTCTCCTTAGCTCATTGGGGTAGAGCAGGAAGCAGCCCCCCGACCCTCCACCACCTCAATTCTTTTGAGATACTTCAACGACCCCTCTTGAGGCTGGGGAATAAGTCACCACACCGGTGTTTCTCAAAAATTGGTGCCAGAGAACCCCCGTGTCAGTATAGCCCCAGGGGACTAGTGCAACACGCAGAATCCAGGGCCCAGCCCCAGACCTGCCAGATGGGACTCTCTGATGTCAAGAGACAGGAGACCTGCTTGTTCCAAGCTTCCAGCACCCCCCATGCCCCTGGGAGATTCCCAAATGTGAGTGTGCCCACCCAGTGTCTCGGTCCGATGGAAAGTCCTCTGCAGCCCCCTCAGGAAGGTAGCATGGGCTCTGAATGTAGCCTGGTGTAGGCATCAGAAGAATGCCTGACCATGGGGGGCAGCCCTCGGAGGGAGGAGTGGTGCTCAGGGCCTGGGAGGGAAGGAGCAGAAGGTCTGCACACATACACAGCTGGATGGAGAGGGGGCTGGGCTGGATGCGGAGGGGGCTGGGGAGGTGCTCTGTCTCCTGGGCAGAGCACAGGACCCCCACCCAAGAGCACAGACATTTGCACGATTTTCTTATCAAATCTAGAAATCTTTACTATACAGGGTATGGAGATGGGAGAGAAATACCCACAGAACCCCATGTGTCATTATCCCCCAAGAGCTTTTGGAGTGACAGGCTGTTTTCCCCATTTCACAAATGAGGAGACTGAGGCCTAGAGAGGAACGGGAAGATGGCCAAGTCTCCCTGCAGGCACCGGTGCATGACTTTCTCCTTTTCCCTCCCCTCATGGTGACTCCCAGACAGCCCTGTAAGAGAAAACATAAGGGAACTGGCTCTGGCTGCTGAATTTGATTTTTATTCAAAGCCCTGGGTTCACACTCAGCTCTCCCAGGTTTTTACTGGTGCGTCCAGCCAAGGTTATGATCCCTGGGGTCTCACAGGGTCTCTGGGAAACCTGTGCCCTGCTTCTGACCTGGCACCAGCCGCCTGAACAGGACAGCAGCGCTGGAAGGGCTGGGACAACTGAGGCTCGCCATCACCCATTCTACAGATGAGCTAACTGAGGCAGGGACATAAGAGTGCCCACAGGAAACACTGGGCTGCCACGAACCCTGGCCACCCAGAGTCCACTATGTAATAGAGCATGCAGACCCCTCACCACCTTGCCAGGGCACCTCTCAGGATATAGAGAGCCTGTCCCCTACCAACCACTGTCTTGTCGGCAGGACAGAGCTTGCGGCCACACCTCTCAGGTGGGGACACTGAGGCCTGGAGATACTAAATAACCTGCATTCGGACCCACAGTTGGTCAGGATGGAAGGCCTGACTCCTTAAGGGGAGAAGCACAAATGAGGTGTGCAGGCTCTAGCGGGCTCAAGTGGGTGCAGCCCTGGGCCAGCCATGCCCTTGCTCTGTGCCTCAGTTTCCCCATCTATATAAAGTAAGGTTGGACAGAGGGTCCCGGGGAGACCCGGACTGGGAAACGGCACAGAACCACCTGGAGAATGGCCCAGGGTTCCTTTCACCTGAGCCAGCAAGAGCTGCCCCCCGAAGGAGGCGCCCTGGCCCCTGCGGACCTCAGCTCTCCCCAGGCCGGGACTGTCCAGGGGGCCCCTCAGCCCTGGAGGCGGGATGGGCTCGGTCACACCCAGGGACAGAGCTGGGACTCTGTTACAGCAGCAGTGATCCCACCACCTCTAGGCCATAGTCAGCAGAAGGGTTCAGACACGGGGCCGGGAATGCAGCAGAGCCGGCAGACTAGAGTTCGCGTCCCAGATCTGCCCCGTGTGCCCCTTGCAGCTCCTCCCTCGGATCGAGTGAAGAAGGACGTAAGGTCGCTTGCACCAGTCTGATTTCAGAGTTCTGTGCCAAAGGGGTGCCCCAGCTACTCACTCCACCTGAGCTAATATTCTCATCATCCCGTTTCTAATTTGTCTATTCCAATTTACACCTTAATTTAGAGTCACTGAATTTCAAGTATTTCTCCAAGTATTATCAGGTGTCCAATATCAATAGCAGGGACTATTATTATACAGCGTCTGGTGTATGCAGAGCCCTGAGCGTGGTCTCCCCAACTTAACCTTCATGCCAGCCTCGTGATGGCAGGTTCCATTCTTATACCCATTTTATGGGAAACTGAGTCACAGAGAATTGCGGATACCAGGTCCTCTCATTCACAGATCTGGGTCACAGACAGAGTTACTGCATAAACTAGCCCTCGGCCCTCCTGCTGGCTGCCCTCCCTCTGGCCCCAAGGAGGGGTTCCACCTGCATCCTTGGCCATCACCTACTAGCCTTCGGATCGTGGGCAGCCCCAAGTCTTGGTTCCTTTATCATGAGATGGAGGTAAAACTCCTTCGGCACACAGAGTCAGTTACGTGAGCGAGTGGGTGCTGAGGGCAGAGCGTACGAACTGACACGTCACAGACATTCGGCTTTGCTCGTGGGATGGGCTCACCAGCCGCGTCACCTTGGGCTAAACCTCAGTTTCCTCTTCTGTGACTGGGCGTCACGAAAGATTTTTGTGGGTCTGAAATAAGTGGATGTGAAGAACCTAGGTGCCTATGAAGTGTATTCCACAAGTCGTCAGTAAGTGTTTGCTTAGAGAGGGAGAGAGAGATGGGAAGGATACATACCCGGACCCCTACTTTGGGCACTGAGATTTTATTTACATGTGGAACATAAATGGAGTATTGTAATGTTCTTCAGGACAAGCCAGCATCTTTCTCCCAAGTAATCCCGAAAGCCACTACCTTGGCTTGAAATCACCGCATTTAAGATTCAGAGAACTTGATCATCGAAGCATCATAACAATAAGAGAAGGCCTTGGGCTGATCAGTCCAGCCAAGGGGCAACAGACCCAGGCCTCGCATGTGACAGCTGGGCGGACAGCTAGGTGGGCAGGGGAGGGCTCAGCCATGGGGACTATGACACAGATCCTAGCACCCCAGGACCCACCAGGAACCCCAACGTGAGCGGGAAGTCACTGTTGTCTCTTGTCCCCTTGGCAGCCTTGGAGCATGGCAAGTCCCAAGCACCCCGGGAGCCCTGGATGGACGGGACCCATAGCCAAGTGCACAGCAGGGACCAAGCAGGAAGCATCAGCCGCTGGCCGAGACCTCCCGTGTCCAGGACCCGAAGGGCACTTAGGTGGGCTTGGGGCTTGGTCAGAGATAGAGGTTTGAAGATATTCGGAATCCAAATATTGGGTACTTCAACAGGTGCCATGGGAGAGGGGGTAGCTTTCTCAACTTGGCACAAGAATTTGGTGCCTGTTGTTTTTCTGGGAGAAGGTCCCAGGAATCATAAGGGTACATCGAGGAAAGGAAGGGCAGGAAGCCAGTAAGGTGTTGATTACTGCTGCGGGCAACTGGGCTCGGTCCCGGCGCGGGTCCTCGGCAAGCCGTAGGGAACGTATCTCAGAGTTGTCCCATCCAGGAGGCGAGGAGGCCAGGGTACTAGCCACCAGCCCACCAGTCCCATCCTTCATCCGCCAAGGGCAGCTCCAGAACAGGCTGCTTTAGCTCAAGAAACCCCCCTGTGTGAGAGCCCTAGGTGCCTCCAGTAGGAAGCCAGGGGGACATTCCAGAGCACTGAGCGCGAAGCAGCCCAGCCCCGCCCCGACTGTGTCCACCGCAGCGCCATCTCCTGGAGCAAACTGATTTACTCATCATTCATGCGGTCGTTCGTCCGAGCCTATGCCTGCTCTGTCCTTGGCCCCAGGGGAAACAGGAACCAATCCAACACTGCTGGCCCTCAAGGTCGGTGGGGAAACAGATCTGTGAAAAATAATTCGAGATGTCACCAGAAAGGTTGTAGGGACCAGGTGGGAGGCTCTTACTCTAATGCGAGGGGACAGTCGAAGTGACATGTGTGCTGGGTCTTGAAGGACACCGTGGAGAAGGGGCACCCCGGCCCCCGGGGGGCCCCCACATCCCTTGAAATAAAATGCACAATGATCGGTGCATTTTGGTGGGGAAGATGATCAGAATGGCGCCCGGGGCACCTGAGGGCTAAGAGACACTGTAAGTTTTCCAGGTAGGGAAATAGGAGGACTGCATTTAAGGCAGATGGTGTAGCATGTGCAAACAAAAGCAGGGAACGTGGGAAAGGAGATGAGACAGTGGGGCGGGGCCCACCAGGCTGAGCCTGGAGCCCAACATCCTCAATGGCTCCCTCCACTGATCGCTGATGCATGTGCTCAGGCGCACCCCCACCGGGCAAGGACACCGTGTCAGTGCCCTAGGGAGTACAGAAAGGAACAGCCACCATCCCTGCTTCTCAGGAGTATGGGTCTCACAGTGGCCAGTCTGCAGGCCGGAGGTGGATGGCGCAACACACATGCGCGGCATTTCCCAATGGAGAAACTTGCTGGGGGACTTGGGGCTATTTCAGGTTGCGTGTGGTGGGATGGCTGCAGCTGCGTTTGGGGCGCAGGAGTCTGGGTGGGCGGGGCCGGGGAGAGGGAAAGGCAAGGCCCTTCCAGATTCGGACTTCCCATCCCCAACAGACCCAGCCATCTCCCCAGACCCTTGTCCCCAAAGTGCACTGACCTGGTGCAAGTGCTGACGGGTGCCGTCCCTCCAGACGCTCATGGCGGCCCCAGCCCCAACTCCAGCATGACCACCGGGGAGCTGCAGGAGTACTGGCGGAAGGAGAAGCGCTGCTGGAGACGCGTCAAGCTGCTCTTTGAGGTCGCGTCCGCCCGCATTGAGGAGAGGAAAGTCTCCAAGTTTGTGGTAAGCTGAGATCAGGCAGGGAGGGCGAGCCTTTCACCACTTCCTTCCCGGCCCTGGGCCTCAACTTGCCCCACTATGAAATGGGCTGATGCAGCTTAACTGACAGAGTTCTAACAGAGACAACGGTCAAAAAGCAAGATTTTGTGCTGGGCGTTGCGTTAAGCACTGTGAGAATTGGAGAGGAGTGAGTCACGGTCCCTGATCCCGAGAAGGAACTAGCCCAGATGAATTCCACGGCAGCCAGAACTAGCCATCTGTGTCCCTTCGCCACAGTTTTTGGTATCCCCAATCATTTATATTATTATTAATAATTATATATTGCATAAAATAATGATAGATAATAATTAACCTCTTTTTCTTTAAATCTGATTGCTTTTTAAAAACACAAAATCACTCTTTCAAAGGGTAACCAGTATCACATAGCATAAAGAAAAGGTAATCTTGAAAGTAAATACAAGGAAACCTAAATGCTGTCATTAGATTCTAGCTGGTTACACCATGGCTGGCGGCAAGCTCTGGGCTTGGAGGGCTGCTCTGTTAAAATGGGATTTGAGCCCTTGGTGGTGGCGGTGTGCAGGTCCAAGTAGGAGCCACGCTCAACCTTTCTCCCCTCCTGGCCCCTTAACTGGGACCAGGATAACAATAGTGGGGGCTAAGTGCTGACTGCAAGTTGAATCCAGTCCCCCGTGGTTGCAGAGCATTCCATCCTCACCCGGCGATATTACCATCCTCATTTCATGGACGGGAAAACTGAGGCCCGTTGCGATTCAAGTACCCACCTGAGACCACACAGCTAGACCGTGGCAGGGCCGGAATTATAACCCAAGGAGCCTGAGCCCTCATCAGTATTCTCTAACTGCAAGAGAACTGAAAAGCAATCATCTCCTTACCATAGAACTTCACCGCCAGCATACCGCCCAAAACCACCTCTCCCCCGTGTCGCCGGCTGGGGAAACACAGACCGAACCCAAGCTCCCCAGTTCAGGAACCGGAGGCCCAGTTTTGACGATGGAAAGTCCGGAGCACCCCCGAGCGCCCTGCATCACCCACTTCTGTGCTTCTGGTCCCACAAGCCGCCTCCGTGCCGCTGTGTTTGTTATTCTCAGGTGGCCTCTTGTCACAAATCGCTTGTATAGCTCAGCAGATGCTGATAGCGATTTACAACAGAATTGCATGGAACGATAACCCATTTTCGGGCTCCGCTTTAAATGATCATCACCATTATTTTTATCTGCCGGGGCTCACTCTGCCAGGGAAAACCTTCCATTAGGACGTAGTCAAATGCTCTCTCTCTCTCTCTCTCTTTACACTGCAGATGTACCAAATCGTCATCATCCAGACAGGGAGTTTTGACAGCAACAAAGCCGTGCTGGAACGGCGTTATTCAGACTTTGAGATGCTCCAGAAAAGCCTCCTCAAGACGTTCAGGGAAGAGATCGAAGACATCGTCTTCCCCAAGAAGCACCTGATGGGCAACTTCTCCGAGGAGATGATCTCTGAGCGCAAGCTAGCCTTCCAGGAGTACCTGAGCCTGCTCTACGCCATCCGCTGCGTGCGGCGGTCCCGCGAGTTCATCGACTTCCTCACGCGCCCCGAGCTCAGGGAGGCGTTCGGCTGCCTGCGCGGGGGGCAGTACAGCCGGGCCCTGGACATCCTGGTGCGCGTGGTGCCCCTGCAGGAGAAGCTGACGGCCCACTGCCCCGTGATGGTGGTCCCGGCGCTGTGCGCCATGCTCGTGTGCCACCGGGACCTGGAGCGGCCGGCCGAGGCGTTCGCGGCCGGGGAGAGGGCGCTCCAGTGCCTGCAGGCCCGGGAGGGCCACCGCTACTACGCCCCCCTGCTGGACGCCATGCTGCGCCTGGCCTACGCGCTGGGCAAGGACTTCGTGTCTCTGCAGGAAAAGCTGCAGGAGAGCCAGCTCCGCAAGCCCAGCCCCTGGGGCTTCACGCTGAAGGAGCTCACCGTCCGGGAATATCTGTACTGAGCCCCTCTGGCGGGCTGGCCGGAGTCTGTGGATCGCCGCGACTGGGGGCGCGGTGGGGGGGGGGGGGGGGGGGGGCGGGGGAGTCGTGTTTAGTGGGAGGAGCCACTTGAGGCTCTAACTTGCTGGGTGACCTTGGACAAGCCCCTCCTCTGGTCCTCCACATCCCCATCTGTGTGGATCGGAGGTGCTCCCCGGGGGTCCTCGGAAGCCTCTGCTTGTGTCGTGGGTCCCTTTGATGCCAGGCTCACCTCGTCTGGAAACCACAAACCCAGCTGCCAAAATGCCGGAGCGTAAGATCCAGCTTCCTGATGCTTTTGTGCGTCGCTGGAGGGGAGGTTTACATTGCAGGCCGTGGACAAAGCTTAACCCACTTCCTCCAGGCAGCTCTCCCCACCAGCTGTCTGTCTTTTCTCTCTGCTCCTCCTCCCTGGGCATTGCCTGCAAAGATCGCCTCCATCATCCTAACTATTCCAGCTCTTCTCTCTTAGCCTGTAGACCCGGCGCAGCAAAACAAAAGCTCACCCATAGCTCCTCAAGGCCAGCTTGTCACCAAGGTGGGGTGTATGTTACCCTTTCAAAGGTGGGAGGACACTGGGCTAGAACGTCATCCGGTCATAAGATTCTGTGAAACGAGGCATTTTTAGGAAGGGAAGTTGCCAACAATTCTCTGGTTAGGATGCTATAACTCAGTGTCCAGGTGGGTTTTCATTTATAAGGCACCTGGCCCTTGACGGGGCTCCTTGAGTTACATAGACATAGCCCCAAAAAGAGGTGGGGGATGATACCCAGTGCAGCCTCTGGGAAGAACAGAGAATGAATGCTTAACACCTCCCCATTTGAGGGGCAATGTTCTTGGAACCCCTCTGATGGGTTGGGATGCCCTTGACTGGAGTCCGCTATCAGGAAAGGACACCAGGAGCTCAGAGTGGAGGGGGAGCCTGGACCCATAACCTAGGTTCAACACCGGGCCTGAAGCCGATGGTCCAGGCTGGTTTGGGGCAATATGTGCTTGAGGCTGGAAGTCCCTGAAGACCTAAACCATCTGGCTGAGCTTATCAGAGTGAACTAAAGAGCCTATAACTTGGCATCCTCATGCGGGGCACCAGTTTGGCCCGTGCAGGGATCCAGGCTCAGCAAAGGGATCACTGTAGCAGGGACGGGGCCTTCACCAAACTGCACCAGAAGGTGTTCAACAGCGACACCATGTGGCAGCAGCTGGAGTGGCCCAATCAGGCTCTGCTCTGGAGGCGAGAAACAGCCTGACACCTTGGGACAAAGAAAGCCTCGGGTCTCTCAATTTACTGCGGGAGAAGGACACTTTGAGTGGGAGACGTTGGACCGCTTGAAAATCTGGGCACAGAGAAAATTAAAGTGTTCAGTGGAAAAATAAAAGGCCGTGACTCTATTTGCAATAGTAAAGAAGACCTTCCTGATTGTATAAGTCATTTCATCAAATGTAAAATGCCACCTCGACTCTCAGGCGCCCCAAATAGTCACTCAGAAGGAAAAAAATGCCCAATCCGGGAAGTTTAATAGGAGTTTCCAGCAAGATGCTGGGAGAGCAAAGAGGTAGCTCCCCACGTAAGGGGCAACGTGGGAGAAACCAGCTTCAGAGAAAGGGACAATCAAGAAATGCAGGAATCAAATTTGGCACGAGGTGAGGGGTGGGAATCTCCTTCTCGAATCCGAACTGCAAAGTTTGGGGTCTGAACACATACAGTGTGGTGCACAATACTTCCAGCAGAGAGGTGTCTTCTCCTTTCCCAGTCTTCCTCCTGTCCACACGCCCCCATCCAGGGCCCAGGGAGTGCCAGGTGGGAGCACCGTGCCAGCCTCACCCAGGTCCAGGAACCCCATTCTGGGCACCCAGGCCCTAAGCCTGAGGGGGCTTTTTCCCATGAAGGCCTCCTGTTGGCTGGGGTCAGGTTACCTGGTGAGCCCCTGTGCCTGGGATGCTGCTCTCTTGCCTGAACCTGAGCCGGGATGGGAGGATGGCACTGCGTGTGAAAACCCAGAGCTCCCCAGCACTTTTGGAGCCCAGCTGTGTGTCCCAGGCTTTCCTCATCACTGCCGGCCCAGCTCTGCTCAGGAGATAATCTTATCCTATCTTACCAATGAGGACACAGACACCCTGATGGCTCACGTGACTTGCCCGAGGTCCCACAGCTCACAATGGGTAGAGCAGGAAATTAAACTCAGGCCAGTGTGACCCCCAGCCTGTGCCTTTCCCACTGAGCCCGACTTTGGAGGGGAGAGAGGAGAGGAGGCTGTAGGGATATGTCCCTGGTCCTCTCATCCTTAAAGGGCCCTTAAAGATCATTTCTCTCATCTCTGTTTCTAGGTGGGAAACAGGTGTGGAGAAGGAACTCCTTCAAGGTCACCCAGGGAGACAGAGACAGCTCCGGGACCAGGCCTGGGGTGTCCACATCCAAGTGACATGGTCTGGCAGGCGGGGCAGACAGAACGATCCCGGGCTGGAACTCCAAGAGGCCACTGGGGGTCACCCAGCAAGACCTGGGGGTGTGGTATCAGTCTGGAGGCTTGGACCGGGGCCAGCCAGCCAGGAGGCTCAGGTCAGGGTGGGCCTTCCTCAGCATGCCCCTCGCTCTGGAGGTTCCCTTGGCTGTAACTCTGCCTGGGAGCTGCAAAGCCAGTTGCAATCCCACCTGCTGGTGGGGGAGGGGTACTTGCTCAGGGGTCTGCAGATGCTTCCTGTCCTCCTGCAGCAACTCAGCAAAGCACTGCCTTCCCAGCATCCTCCAGCTCAGCCACACACCCGCTCCCCTTGGGGCCCCACAATGCCGCCGCCTGTTCCATCATCCACTTGCCATTTTCCTTTCAGCAGTCCCCCTTACGCTTGTGTAAATTTCTTTGAAAAAGAAACTTCCGATTACCACTCTAAATGGAAAATCAGAATCAGAATCACTTGCTATAATGAGGAAGGTAGCTCTAAAAATCCTCACAATGAAACCTATTGCTGTTAGTACACCTCACAGGACTTTGTCTGCCACAGGCCTTGACGGTGAGGCCGCCAGAGGTTCTTTGTTAACAGAGACAGAGAGACAGGTGTTAGGGGCCCGTCATCACCAAGTTGAGACTTGTCTTTGATTTACTCAGAAGGACTGGACAATACCGCGAGAGGAAAGAAGTTTCCGACCATGTGGACTGGATCGTTCGACGTTGTCTGTGCATTATCCCCTACCATCTGGGTCTTGCCCCCTGCTGCTGGGCCTGTGGCCCTGGTCCCCCCCCCCCCCAGCCCTGTATTCAGCCCTGCTGGCTCTCCAGCTCCTCCGTCGTGGGCCTGGTTTTGACTTTTGTTGACATTCCCGGCTTTCTTTCTTTCTTTCCTTTTTCTTTCTTTTTTCTTTTTTTAAGATTTTATTTATTTATTTGACAGAGAGAGAGAGAGTGTGAGCATAACCAGGGGGAGCAGCAGAGGGAGAGGGAGAAGCAGGTTCTCCGCTCAGCAAGGAGCCCGATTCCAGGCTCGATTCCAGGACCCTGGGATCATGACCTGGAGCCAAAGGCAGATGCTTAACTGACTGAGCCACCCAGGTGCCCTGACATCCTCGGCTTTCAACACCCCACTTGGAAGGCGAAACCTAGGCTCCAGCTCCTGGCTTCATACCCGATTTCAGGTCAGACCCCCCCAGTTGGAAGGAAAATTCTGTCTCAGTCAAAACCTGAAACTGCAGTATGTCCTCTGGTTGGTGTCCCTGTGCGCCCCTGGTATAAGCAAGAAAATACTGCTCACCCAAAGAGATCCTGCACAGAGCCCTACTCTCATGGTCTGCACACAGAATAGGCTCTTGCCAGCCTTATCCATCTATCTGTGCATATTCTCATTTTCTCGGTAAACAGTGATTGATGCCACTCCCACTATTTTGCTAGACTCTGCCAAGAGCTGGGGACACAGGGGTGAAAGGCACAGCCCCCGTGCTGACCTTATTGAGGCCAGAAGGGAGTCACTCACAGAGCAAACAGAAGCTGAGATAGAATGGTCTCCCTCAGCCAGGTAGTCAAGGAAGGCTTCTCAGAAGAGGAGGTGTTTAAGGGAGCCACAGAAAAGGCTAAAGGGGCGGACACTGCAGCATGGGGAGGGGAGAATTTTAGGCAGAGGTAAAGCAGCAGCACCCCTAAGCAGGAGCCTCCTCCGCCCCTGGGGACTCTTAGTTGAGGCCCCGGCCCCAGAAAGGGGGCAGGCCCAGGATGCCCCTTCCCTGATGTGTCACGCTGACGGTACCCACTGCAAGGCAGAGTTCCAAGTGCTGCCAGATACGCCTGGCAAGCCACATGTGTGCCATCATCCATCTCCAGTGACTGGCTCGTTGCAAAGTGAGCAAGCTGGGAGCTTGTGTTTAGGGAGCACAGACCCTTTTGGTTACAAGCAACAGAAAGCCAGGGGAGGAATTTATTATCAGAAAAGTCTAGGAATAGACGAGCTTCAAGCCAAGTTGGATCCAAAGAATCAAACCTTGTCATCTGGTCTCTAACTTTCACTTTCTGTCTTTCTCTGTTCTGCTTCCCTGCTTTGCCTCTTTCTCTCGACAAGCTTTCCTCCTGGTGACAAGATAGCTGTAGCAACGCCAGGCTCCTAGGCTCCCTTCTTGGCAACCCCTGGGGCTCCCCCTTCAAGGCCTTGTGAAGCCCCTCATCTGCAGGGTATATACCAAACACCCTCATGTCCTTTCCTGAGGGGCCAGGCAGGGCAGATCCTGCCCCCAAGTGGGGCAACCACAGTGAGCCTGCCCAGCCTTCGACAGAAATAAGTCTTAACATATTGTTTTGTAAGCTGCTTTTGAAATTTTAAAATAGACTTTGTGGTTGTTGTTGTTTGTTTTTTTACATCAGTCTCCAGTTCACAGCAAAACTGAGTAGAAGGTATGGAGATTTCCCACATAGGCCCCATCGCCACACAGGCCTAGCCTCCCCCACGATCACATCTTTCACCAGCGTGATACACTTGTTACAACTGATGAACCTGCACAGACACGTCATTATCACCCAGAGTCCATAGTTTCCATTAGGGCTCACTCTTGGTGTCACGCTTTCTATGGGTTTGGACGAAAGTAACACCCACTGACATGTATCCACCCTTACAGTATCATACCGCATACAATAAAAGTATGGTTAGAATACGATTAAATTTTATTTATATATCATGAGCACTTTACTATAATATATAACATTTTCCATGTTATTTTTAATCTATTTTAACCATCTTGTAATGTAATTTTCCTCATTACAGTCAACACTGCTGCAAACCCCTGGATGCAGTGTCTTTTTGTATTTGTACACTCTTGAGGCAATTTCTAACTGTGGTGTCTCTGAATCATAAGCACTTTCCATGGTTTTGATAACGTTAATTTCTCTGCAGAGAGTCTGTGCTAACTCACTCCTCTACCAGCTGGGTATGAGAGATGCCCATTTCCATGAACCTTCCATAGCACGGGGATGGTAGCTCTTTTAAACTATTTCCAGTGTGAAAGATGAGAAGTGGTATCCACGGCTTAATGTACATTTCACTGTTGTTAGTATGAACATTTGTCATGGGCCTATTGGTCACTCTCGTTGTACTGAAGGTTATTGAAATGTTCTGTTCTCCCCCCTTGCATCGGGCACTTCTGGAGGGAGGCTCATCCCGCAATTTAAGAAGCGGCCAGCAGATGGCGCTGCCACACCGGCGGCTCCGGGAGCTTCCGCGCGGTGCTGGAGGAACGAAACCGGAGGGAAGTTGAGCCTTCCTCCCAAAGAGGGGGGAAAAAAAGACTTTAAAAAACCGTTCGAAGGGGGTTGAAATAATACTAAGAAGAAAGTTTTGCTGGGAAGGCGCTGACGTTTCGTCGCCTCCTTTTCTGCCACCCGTCGCCCTCGCCTCCCGCACCAAGGACCCTCACTTGGGGTTCAGGACCTCACTTCCCTTTTCTGCTCCCGCATCCTCTTCCTGAAGCACACAGACCCAAAGGGGCGGAAGGAGGCCTCCTTGTGGCCGCCTCCCCCCACCCCCACCCCCAGGGGCTATCAGAAGGAAGGGAGCGAAACCGCAACTGCGAACAAAATAAGGTGCCTAAAAATATAGGGCGGCCACCCTTTGCGGTCCTTTAACCTGCTGGCTCCTGAGCGTGGGGGCTGGAGTAAGCCTCCCTCGGTATGGGGGCAGGGCCCTTTCTCAAGTATCGGGGGAGGGAGCGTAGGCACCCCCAGAAGCCCTGCCACCTGGCTTTCCAGGAGGGAGAGTTTGGGTGCTACCTCCGACCTTCTGAGGCCCCGGGGTGGTGCTGAGGGGTTCTCATCCATCTGCCTACTGGATTGGGGGAGAAGAGGAGCCACACTCTGACTTCTTTTCACCACGAGATACCTAGAGGCTGTGTGGCTTGGACGGATAAGGGAATGGAAGGATCAGGAAGAGGGAGATAGAGTG